GTTTTTATTTCGAGTATCTCTTTTAATTAGCTTATTCTTTCATGTTTTGAGTACGTTTTTTGTTATTGTGTAAGGGATGTTAATCAAAATTTTTATTACGCTTCTGCATTTGAGATTTTTAATATATACATCTTCATTTAAATTCCGAAGCCGCTACATGTGCTGCATATTGAGTGTCGGGGCGTGACAATTTATATATTTAATTATATATAAATACATATTTATAATATTTTAATTATAAATATACATTTATGTAATATTTTAATTATATATGTATATAATATATTAATTGTATATATATTTTTAATTATATATAACTACATATATTTATATATATCTATATTTAACACTATATTTTTTTAATTTTTATTTATTACTATATAATTAAAAAAATATATTTTTATATATCTCTATATTTAATATATTTTTTTAATTTTTTTTATTTTTCATTTATTACTATATATAATAAAGTATGGACACAATAAATAATTTGTTTAAATATATAACCATATCATACCGTCAATTCAAACAAAAACAGATGTCACTAACAGACATTAATAAATAATAATCTAAACATAGTTAAATTTGCACATAATGAACCGTAACTAACATTAATGAACCATTATGTAAATCATTTAATCAAGCTCTAAAGTACTTTAATTGTTTTCTTTATGCAAGGGTTTTTTTTTTAAAGACATAATAACGAACATTAAAAAAATAAGAACAATTTATGACACCTCTTTTTATTTAGACATTGATTTTTTGTTACTATTTGTCTATATTTTGTTATTAATTTAATTACTATTTATTATTTTAACTATTGTTTATTTTGCTATCAATTTTTTTTTTGAATAAATTGATTTTCAATGTTATATCAATTAGTATAATAGCAATTTATAATTAAAATAAGAATAAATAACAACTAAAATAATAACAAAATATAATTAGTTAATAATTATTTTTTTGAGTGAAAATAGTTAATAATTATAAATGACAAACAAAAATATAAAATATAGATATCAACAAACAAAAAAGAAATATAAAAAAGATTTTTTAAATTATTTTCAAGTAATTACTTACCCTATAAGATTCTTTCTCCATTATTTTGTTTTATTCCAATGATAATAGAAAAAGAAAACCATTTATTACTCATCATCACTGCGAAGTTCAGATGCAATGGATGCGTCACTCGTTACGGTATGTAAATTTGTTTTTTCTGCACTACTAATCAGAAGACAACACGTGTAAAGATCTCATTCCCTAAATTCAACTACCCCCTCAGGAGCTACTATCAAGTATCCCATATAATCTGGAATACAGATATCCGTCTTCCCACTGCTATCTTACTTCTCCTTCCCCAACCAAAATGGACCGTCTCTCTTTCATCTCTCTTCTCTTCATCATCTCCCTCCTATCCTCTCCCATAACCTCTACTATCTTCTCAGATGAACCCCATGAAGTCGATTCTCTAATTCGTCAAGTCGTGTCGGATGGAGACGACGATCATCTCCTCAACGCCGAGCACCATTTCTCTCTCTTCAAGTCAAACTTTGGCAAAACCTATACGACGCAGGAGGAGCACGACTATAGATTCAGAGTCTTCAAGGCCAATCTGCGCCGAGCCAGAGCCACCAACTCCTTGACCCCACCGCCGCCCATGGCGTCACCAAGTTCTCCGATCTGACACCGTCAGAGTTTCGCCGTCAGTACCTCGGATTGAAGCCTCTCCTGCTCCCTGCCGATGCAAAGAAGGCTCCTATCCTTCCAACCAACAATCTCCCTACGGATTTTGATTGGCGTGATCAAGGAGCCGTCACTGTGGTCAAAGACCAGGTTTTTTTTTTTCTTTTTATTCACGGCCATAAGTGTCGGTATATTCATATGAAGACGTTCACGACCAATTTTACTCAATTGATTTTTCTTTTCTTCTTTTTTCTTTCCTTAAAAGGGTGCTTGCGGATCGTGCTGGTCGTTTAGTACTACCGGAGCTTTGGAGGGAGCACATTTTCTGGCGACAGGGGAACTTGTCAGCTTGAGCGAGCAGCAGCTTGTTGATTGTGATCGCCAGGTTTGCTTTGTTTCGGTTTTCGCATTCTTTTTCCGCTAAAAGTTCGCTTCCTTTAGAATCCTGTTTAGTTTCCCGTAAATCATGTTTAATTACAAGAGAATTAGTAAATTAAAGTAAAACGAAATTAAAAGAAAGATATGCTATTATGAGCCAGCTGAAGAATAGTTTACTCGCTTTCTTGCTAGTGCAACCTTCATCAGCTTAGTCTGTTAAGAGAACATAAAGCTTCTGTTATAGTTCTTTTATAGTAAGAATCTTTGTCCCCCCTCCCCCCCCCAACAAAAAAAAAAAAAGAAAAACAACCGAATTCTTGTTAAGCTTACTCTAGCCTGTAATTTGTGACATTCATCGCTGAAAAGTGATTCGTACAATATGAAATTTATTTGTAACACTTTTTTGGAGGGATGAGGGGGTTTGGATGAACTTCTTGTTATCAAATAGTTCTGGCTTTGAAGCAAAATATTGCTTCAACGTCTTTGTTATTAAGTAGCTCCCATTTTGAGGGATGAGATGGTTTGGATTAACTTCTTGTTATCAGTAGTTCTGGCTTTGAAGCAAAATATTGCTTCATCGTCTTTATGTCTGTATGTACTTGTGTCAGCCTTTGTGTTTCTGCATCAATGTTTTTGTGGGTTCATGACATAAATTTTGCAGATAGTTTCTTCCATGCTTAAAGGAAACTTGTAAATATCTGCAATGATTGTGTATGGTAAATGTCTGATAGTAATTGGCTGGTTAAGTATCAAACATGTGGAGACTGCCAGATAATTTATATTAGGCAAAACCTTTTTGTTGAATTTAGAAATTTCCTTTTGTGGATTAAAAATGATTCCTTTCCTCACTTTATGAAAGGTCAGCATCACCATCTTTACTGCCTAACCTTGCACCTTATGCAGTGTGATCCAGAAGAGTATGGGGCCTGTGACTCGGGCTGTAGTGGTGGGTTGATGACCACTGCTTTTGAGTACATACTCAAGGCTGGTGGAATTCAGAGAGAGGAGGACTATCCTTATACTGGGAATGATAAGGGGACTTGCAAATTTGACAAGAACAAGATTGCTGCATCTGTCGCTAACTTCAGTGTTGTTTCCCTTGATGAGGATCAAATAGCTGCGAATCTGGTGAAGAATGGTCCACTTGCAGGTACAAAATATTGCATCACTTGAATGCCTGGATTTCTTTGTGGTGTTTATCTAGTGTGATTAGTGTAACTTATTGTTGTGAACTGTTAATATTGGTAAAACAATTGGATTAATGGACTGAACATTGTATTAATTATTCTGCCTTTTGATGTTGCAGTGGGGATCAATGCAGTTTTTATGCAAACATACATTGGAGGGGTTTCATGTCCTTACATTTGTGCTAGGCATTTGGATCATGGAGTGCTTATGGTGGGGTATGGATCTGCTGGTTATGCCCCTATTCGCTTTAAGGAGAAACCATACTGGATCATTAAGAACTCCTGGGGGCCAAACTGGGGTGAGGAAGGATACTACAAAATCTGCAGGGGTCGAAACATATGTGGAGTGGATTCCATGGTCTCAACGGTGGCTGCAATACACACTTCTTCTTCATAGGTCATAAGAAATTATCACAATATGGAGCCCTGGTGCTTAGTAAATGGGGTTCTTGTTGTATATTTTAAGTGAAGCAAGAAAAGATATATAGATTATTACCTACCTAGATTTGTTTCAGTGCTCAGAACACTTGACAATTTATCACTGAAAAACTTGCGATGCTCCTGTTATTTGTAAGCTTGTCTTATTGTAATATGACTATACCCTTAAAGGTTTGTGTACACTGTTTGCTGCTATGAAATAGAAAAGGGGTTACTACTTTGAAGGGTTAGTGAACCGAGGTGCATTTGTCTGCACTTATTTATTTTTCTTTTTAAAAAGGAAGAAGAAACTGAAGAAAAATGGACAATTTTCTGCTTCCATTGATGAAGTTTGATTGGCTACAAAGAAAGAAGAAACTGCTGTTGAGAAGTAAATGAACTCGATGCACGTTCAGCAGATGTACCAAATAATCTCAGGTCAAAATTCGGCGTTAGCATCTACTTGGCTAGTGAAGGAGTGGAAATAAAAGCCAAATGCTCGCATAATTTTGTTTTCTTTATGGATTATAGCTTTAAAAGTAGGTGGTGAAAGTAAAATAAGTTAGAAGATATTGTTATATATATACACACACACACACACAAGAATAAAAGATAATCTACAGCCCAAAAATTATAAAATGAGCAAGTTGTTGCTGGCATGGAAAAATTATGAGTGCTCTCGCAATCTTCTGTCATGCTGATTAAGTGGCCATCATTATACTTGCATGTAGGAATATATATTTGTCTTA